CCTGCGTTTCAATAACCAGATGCATCTACTGCCTTGGAGAGATTCTAATTCTTAATTACATCTCTGTCTGGCCTTCTGGGACAAAGTTTATGTTAGAAAAGTAGTAGTAGCAGCAGTAAAGTTCATCAGTATCTATGCCAACACTGTATGGGTTTTTTTGTAAAGAGAGACAGACATGAAACCCAAAGCCATTACCCTACTTAGTTCAAACATTTTCTATAAACTCTGAGGGAAGAGAGACCATCTCAACCGGTACTGAAAAGGGACACTGAGTACAGGTCAGCTCAGTGAGGAGGTCCCCAGTGCTGAGAGTACTGTAAGACTGGTGCATCGTAGGTGCGGAAACTGGGGAAGAAGCAGGGGGCATGTGGAAGGGAAAAGCTCTCTGCCACCCTTGCTGTCTGTGTCCCAGGAATGCAGTCTCATTGAGAACACCGTGTGATAATGACACATGCTTCCATTTCCCTTCCTCTTGGTTTTGCTTCAAGTTATTGAAGCAATCTTGTAGATGACAACAAAACAGGATTTTCTCAGTAAACATACAAACAGCTGCATCGTGTTGTTTCTTTTTTGAACTTACCCTCAGTCCTCCTTCTCCTCCAGAACCTGAAGCTGCAATTCTTTTTTCTATTTCTTCCTGTTTCTTTTTCTTTTGCTCTACAGAGTAAGCGTTCTTAATACCTCGAGAGGAAGCCTGGGAGAAAACACATTTGGGTAAGACCACTTAACTATTTTTTTGGGTAGAAGTCAAACTGCAAGTCTTGACAACAGCGTTTTGTGAACTCCGGTTTGCATGAAAAGACTAAAACATTAAGTAATGCTACTACTACATAAACGCAGACCTTTCAGGATACTTCTTCATACCGTGAGTTCTTGGTCCCATAGGGATGTGAGGGTGCTTTTGTTTCATATTGTTATTCAATCCAGGTGAACATATTTAATGCAATTACATGTACCTGCTTTGCATCCTAAGATGCAGAACCAGAACTTCCATTCCCAGAAGTCCCATAAATTCTTAGTCTGTGGTTTTTCCAGTGTCAGGGCCTATTCTTGCCCTCACAAACAGAATTAACCGGGAAGAGACAATTTGGGCAGACAGAATTTCCAAGAACTTTAGCCGTTTCATCATCTGTTCACTTCTTCCATTTCTTTTTATCAAAAGGCTACCTAGAGATAGAATACAGATGATGGAAATCATAATGACAGAGTCTATTCTAACACTCAATAAGCAGATGGAGAAAGTCACAAGCTCTGTATAGCAGCTACAGAAATCGATGGGAACTTTACGTGCAGGGGAGGAAAAAAAGGTCATGTTAGTAGTGCTAGCCTAGGCTGTTAGAAATCCAAGTTCTAAACTGTGATCTGTGAGAAATAACCTGTGTGACAGTCTACCTTTCAAACTTCATAGATGTGTGGAAAGCAGCAGTACACAAATGAGAAACCTGTTGTCAACTGCCTGCTAATGAGCCCCTAGACTAGATGGTAGGAGTATCAGAACGACTGACAAACAGTTAACACTGTAAACCTAGAAAGAAAATGTTTTAAAAACTGATTCTTAGCCAAGTTTAGAGTTATGATACTACAGCACAAGCTACGCAAAAGATGTTAAAAATCTACCAAGGGAAAACAGCAATGCTCTCACCTGAAATTCAAGGCCCTGATGACAAGCACATTTCTCAATAGGCTACTAAGGCAAATCTTACCAAGAAATACCAACTTACTTAGACCCTGTGATTTCTAGCTTTTAGGCAACTGGCCTTCCAAGTGAGTTAGGTACCCAGACTCTCTCTACAGCACCCCAAAAGGAAGAACACCTCACACGGCTTCAGGCTGAATAATGAGCAGTTAAGAAGCATGTACAGGAAAACACCAAGCAGAGAAGGACATCTGATCTATTCCCTTGTCCCTCACGAGGGGGAAACTGAATTAGGCTACTCACAAGACATCTCCATCGCTCAACATTCAGAGGCTAAAATGCTCTCAAAGATAGTAAAAAAATTCTGGTAGATGTTTTAGCTCTTTCTCTTTTAAGAAAACAAAAAGTAACAGAGAGCGATAGTTATGTTTTTCTTTAGCAGCTTAACGGCTACCACAGAACTTCAGAGCCATCCATAACAAGTTGCTTCACTTCTCCTTCCTCCCAGGAAAGCTTTTTAGCAACTTAAGAGCTAGATGGGGACGTTCCCCTTTCAGACACTTCTCAAAAGTATATTTCCTACAGTTTTGCTTAAAAGCCCTTTGAGATTTAAGATTACATGTGGATTGCTTTTAGTACGTAGTCTGACACAAAATCAAGAGTTTTTAAAGAAGGACTCTGAAGCGTCACTCAACTGTTGCTCCAATTATTCACCAAACTCCCTTAAAACCAGATCAACACGGTCCTCATCAATAATGGTCGATTTGTAATTCAATATATAATGTCACTAACACTCATAGAAAACCCACATTCCTCTCTCTTCATAGGTCAGCTGTGATCTCCAAGATACACGTTTTACTTACTGTAGATGTTGTATGGTGTTTGTTGTAAGCCTTTTTTGAGAAGTACAGAAAGGAAGAAACAGGCTGGCTAGTTCTGCATTCTGCTAGAACATTTGCATCCTACCTCTTCTAACTTTAAGGATATTTAAGTAGTTAAAGCTTGGCAACCTTAAAAAGATAGAAGAGTAAGTTAATACTACTTCTTTGCTGGAATTTAGCTGAGAAATGTGCTCAACTGTTGCCATGTTGATAAACTGAACTTGCAAGTGCCCATAACCTGCATTTGCAAGAGAAGTCCAAGTGCAGTACCACCTGAAATTGCCACCACAATAATTGTTTGACAACTCTGGCTCGAAATATTTCTCAATCTCTTGTTTACAAGTCTTATAATGGGGGAAAAAAATAATGACAAACTTGCTCTTCAATTCTTAGGTTGTTTTTTAACTACTGCAAAACTTCTCTCATGCAAACAAGCTCAGTTATCTTGCAATGGTCTTTGAGTACCTATCTAGCTATGAAATTCTACTATAAATATATATAAAAAATGGCATAAAGGTAAAACATTAATACTATGAAAACGTTTAATCACAATTCCCAAAATCCAGGCATGACATCCAGTGTTCCCCCGGAAACCCTAGCTGTTTTCCCCATAAACCAGTTACCAAAATGTATTTTGAATAAACGGCATTTTATCAGACGTTACCTCCATCTGCCTCTTTTCAGCAGCTTCTGCTAGCTGTCTTCTTTTTATTTCCTAAATAAAACGTGAAAGACAGTGAAATTCTATTCTAATACAGTCTGTACATTCTTTTTAAAGTCTTAATTTTTAAATATGACTCAACTCTGTAATGCAAACTGCCACCAAATGCCAACCTTAAGTCAATTAGCATCATCCTTCCCTCCACTGCCAGTCTGCAAGAACAAAGTGTTTTTAGTGACTAATATGCTGGAAGAGCAGCTGCTGACAGATCTACAGTCAACCCCCACCAGAAATCTGTGTTCAGCTGTCTGCATTACGCCTTCACTCCAAAAAATTCAGACTGGAATGAGAAGGCATGCAGTATGTGAAATGCCCTTTTGGAGCGTGAAAAGGGGAAAGCTCACTCTTCCAGGCCGAATGTGCTCCTTTTCTTCTCCCCCTCAAAACCCTCAGGTGAGGGGTACAAAGACATGGAGATGGGTTCCCGCCCCCGTAAGGGAAATGTCATCCTATGGAGATTAGTTAGAAGTGAGCATCACTGTGCACTAGAGAGAAAAGCAGAGTTTTTCCCCTTTCTGGCTAAAATGAGAGTCATCTTGGCCTCGATTATGGCGCGAAGCCCCCAGCCTCCATACAAGTGCCCACCAGTGAGACGTGGGACGGAACAGAGGGAGGCTGCGGGGTGCCAGGCCCCAGGCCGCGGGGCGCCGGGTGGGGGCTGCCCCAGGCGACCTCGCCCCGGCAGCTCCCCGCTCCCGAGGCCGGGCGCCGAAGGACGAGTCTCTCCGGCATAGCCGCCGCCCCGGCA